ACAATCAAGAAAATGAATTCCTTGGAAAAAAAAAGGGGTATCAAACAGCAAAAAAATGAAAAACGTGTTTGATTTTTCGTTTTCCATGAAAAATTTTCAACAATCAAACAGGGCCTCGATCATTTTGTAATGTTGTCCATCTGAAATAAATACTGTTTACATTTATTCTACGATATTTCAAAGAACGTTGTAATTTAATAATCAATTACAGTGTTTACAAACATTTCATAACTACAAAAATCAATATTTACAGTGTTTACAATTATTTCGTAATTACAAATAATTACAATAAATTTATGGATTACTATTAAAGTAGAATAAGTCGCACGCCAACTTATTCCGCCAACTCTGTATCCAGGATTGATTGATTCCATCAACCTTATGTGCTATACTCAAAAATTCGATGTACTTTATTGCAAAAAATGGTACAATAGCCCCTGCAAATGAACAATAATGAGTTAGATTAGTACCGTGCAGCAAAAAAATTAAGTATTAAATTTTAAAAACTCTTGGACCACTTACGATAGTGTCTGCCTAGCTGTTGTCCTGTTCCGCACGACGGCTAATCTATCATTCACAGTCAATCCCACCTATCTAGTGACTAGTACTTAATGTCAAGTCCGAACTCCAAATGACTCGACCAGGTCTGTCAAATGATCCCGGATATCTTTGAACCCGATCACACAACAAGTTCATGGCCAGGTCGATGTACTGCATTAAAAAATAGCAATACAAAAGGGAGTTATTTCATTGCATAAACAAATAATGATATAAAAGTCATAGAAAATAGCAATATGACTACTTCACTTACATCGTCGACAAGCCAAGCTCCTGAAGTGATGATGTCAAAGAACCACTTATAAGCATCTGAGATCGTCACAATACCGATCGTACGACTGGTCCTGAAAAAAAAATGTTAAAGAAGAATATACAAGTAATGCAGCGTACTTTTACTAATATCATGAATACTAAACCGGGCAACATTCTTCTTCACTCCGTCTCGAACGCTTTCTATTTGCATTGTCCACCTCGGGGATCGTCTCCTCCTCCACCCCCAACGATCGCCACCTCCTTGACACTCACCTCCTCCTCCATCCCCGTCATCACCATCTCCTCGACCATAGCTCCCGTCCTCGACGGGCCCACTCCCTCATTCGCCCCCGTCGGCATCACCTTCTCGATCATCATTCCCGTCCCTGACGGGGCCACCCCCTCCTCCACTCTCAGGGCCACTCTATCCTCTATGGACTGAAGAAAGCATTCCAATGCATTCTTCGACCATGACTGATGGTGACCCCCATCTCTTATCCTCCTTTCGATCATCCCACCGGTTGTCATCTCCGTCACCCCATCATCTGCCTGCTATATCACCTCGGAGTGCTATCACCTCATCCTAAAGGTCCCCCTAAATGCCCACACAGATTGTCCACCCGCTCCACCATCAACTATATCCTCAACCCTCCCTACTAACTGGCATCCCAGGTCATCCACCCGCTCTACCATATCTCGATGTAGCACACCGACCTCCTCTGATATAACTCCTATCAGCTCTTGACGTAATGCGCTGACCTCCCTGATATAACTCCTACCAGCTCTCGACGTAGCATGCCAATATCCTGCACCATAATATCCAGTCAGGCAATGGTACAGATCATCAGAATAATCACCCTGATGAGGAGGAGGTGATCTCAATGACAAAGGTGATGCCCGATCAACTGGCTCGCGGTCCTACACAAACTTACAGATTATTAACTTATTCAATAATTGTTAACTCATACAAAATATTAATCAATAATTCACTTATCTAGTCTCGATTGGAGAACGAATCGGACATCTGGTCGTCTTGAGTGTGTGGAAACGCTATTTCACGCACAAGACCCTGCCCTCCTCCTCCATTGACGTCGTCAAATGAATTACTACTTCAAGCTGACATATTGACATTTTAAAAGATAAAATCATATAATGAGATTTTAAATTATATACAATAAAAATCACAAATTTATAATACTCACATTAGGATTATCAAGGAGAGCCGATAATTGTTTCCCAATGGGACATCCCTTCGCTCGAGATGTTCGCGCAATGGTGCATCCGAGGGCAACATGTCTTCCATCGCCGTGCAAAGCATGTACCCAATATGGGGATGGTCTCATACATCCAGACCTGCAACACATAAATTAGGACATACAAATTCAATAGAAAAAATGTTTTTAACATTGATTACATTAATCATTTACTTGCAGTGCCAAGGGGAATCCATAAGTGTCGTACTTAAGCACGGGCCCCTTGGGCTTCGAGTACGATCTGATGAAGATGTGGATGGTGTTCTAGAAACATCGTCGGCCCCAGGGATAGTTGTTGAAGCGATCTATGTCGTCGACGATCTCCAGGTGAAAGAGGTCGATCGTAGTCTTCTTATGGTGACACTGCATCACGCTCTCATAGATGTAGACTAGACTTGACTTCAGTCTATCCAACATCTCGTCACACCTCCTGATTGCGTCCATCAGCTGAAGCAGAACCATCACTCCCTATCTCTGGAAGTAAGTGTCCTATAGCCTATTTTTTCTTTGAGTCCCATTACTAGCTATCTCATCGTCCGTAATCTTTAATTCAGTCAGCAGGGCAAACTCGAACATGGAAAAACTGGCTACTTTGCCCCTGAGATCGAAGTGGAGGGCATCGCTGTCAACTGGACTCAGCAACCGACATAGAAGAGCATCGATCTTCTGACCAAATACTGCAACTCTCTCAACGAGTATAGAGGCCACAGAAAGGATTGACGCAGCATATCTGCATACTAGTCGTCAAGCAGCTCCAGGACCTAGATGAAGCTGTTAGAGTTACTGTTCCACATACTTTTGCCTGACATCTGTCTCAACTCTGCATCCAGATGATAATCCATCCTGCAAAAATTGAAACAAAATATTAAAATATTGTACATGAAATAATGGAATGAAGCATAATAACCCAAAATTAAGCGAACCGAATCGTAATTACTATATGCAAGATGCAAATTCATGAAATTTTTTTCCTCTTACCAAAAATTAATAATTAAAATTTAAAATAATAGTTAAAATAAAAAATTAAAATTAAGATGAAAATATAAAATTATTCAAATTAAATAGAGAATATGAAAATTTTACCCTATTACCAAAAAGTAATAATTAAAATGAAGATCAAAATTAAAATTAAAAGTTAAAATTATAATTAACTAATTAAATTGAAAATAAAAATAAAAATAAAAAATTATTCAATTAAATTAATAATATGAATTTTTTACCTTATTATCGAAAATTAATAATTAACATAAAAGTTAAAATTAAAATTAAAAATGGAAATTAAAATTAAAATTAAAATTACAATTAAATTTAAAATAAAAGGTTAAAATTAGAATTAAAAAAGTAATTTGAAAATTAATTTTAAAATAACGAATTTCTTTAAATTAAAATTATAATTAAAATGAAAATATAAATTTAAAATGAAATTATAATTACAATTAAATTTAAAATAAAAAATTATAATTAGAATTTAAAAAGTAATTTGAAAGTAAAAAATTTCTTTAAATTAAAATTATAATTAAAATGAAAATTTAAATTTAAATTTAAAATAAAATTATAATTACAATTAAATTTAAAATAAAAATTTAAAATTAGAATTAAAAAAGTAATTTGAAAATAAAAAATTCTTTAAATTAAAATTATAATTAAAATGAAATTTTGAATTTAAATAAAATAAAAAATTAAATTTATATTTAAAATAAAAAGTTAAAATTAGAATTACAAAATTAATTTTAAAATAACAAATTTCTTTAAATTAAAATTAAAATAAAATTTAAATTTAAATTAAAAATTAAAAATTAAATTTCAAATAAAGAGTTAAAATTAGAATTATAAATTAACTTTAAAATAACAAATTTCTTTAAATTTGATAACGAAAAAAATTATTTAATAAAAAATTCTAAACATTTAATGATTTAAATTAATTTAGGAATTTTTTTTTTTTAAAAAAAAGGGAGAGACCGAAAATCCAACCGGGTGTCAGCAGCCAACTCCTCCATCTCACCAGAATCTACCATTTTTTGCGAGGGCCAATACACTTTATATATACCCAAATCTAGCCTAAATCATGTGTTTCACCCAACAAAAATAATATTTCAACCAATAGTCTAATTAAAACTCAACAAAACACAATAATCTAATTATAACTCCACAGAAACTAACCTTTACAATAGGAGATAGCCGACAACCGGAAGTTCGACGGTGAGGAAGATGTATGGACGACCGACTGTCAATGAAAGTGAAAATTTCTAACTCCAAATTCTAATTGTCGAGAGAGAGTGAGGAAGCATGGAGGGGTATTTTTGGAAAATTATCTTTAAAATGTATTTTCGTTTTTTTTTTTTAATTAAATCACTCAAAGGCCAAAGTGGAAATAAGGGTGGGTCAACTGGCCATTTTCACTAATTTCCTCGTAGGAGGGACAGGAGAGGAACTGAACAGTAACTGTGTCATTTTGTCTCATTTAGACATTTAAAATTTGTTTATATATTTAAATTTCATTATGAAAATAATCTTTATAGGAAGAGAAGATTACGATTGAGTAAGAGATTGATTAACATTTAGCCCTTGTTTGATTCCCTTCAAAATTTTAATACATTTTTTTATATCTTCTTTTCAACCACCTTTTATTTAATAAAATAATATTATATGTAAATAAAAAAAATTCTCATTATAATGGTTGTCAAACAGGGATTCGTTTACGTACTTTAACCAGATGGAAGATTACTGACGTATCTCAATTTATTGGATAACGTTGGATCCACTGTTACATAAATAGTGTTAAATATTACTGATATTAGATAAGATTATTGTTAAGAACAACAATGCATGTGAATTATTGTTTGCACCGTTCAAGATACCAAAGAATTTCACGATATTTCGAGTTCTATATTCCTGATTTCTTGAGAATATTTTCATATATTGTGTGCGTGATCGATATTTACTTCTTCACAATTATTACTAACATGGCATTCACATAAAGGTTACACAATGTCTCAAATATATCCAACTCATACTTCTTAATACAAATCAAAATGATCAATTCATGAGTAGAATTCATAACTTGAAGAATCAACAATAATATTCCGCAATCCGCCAGCCGACGATGCCAACATAATGAATACTCCGAAAAATACCCATGCCTGAAAATTCATACAATGAGATTAAGAATTAAATGTAAAACTAAGTTTGTCATCACGTGAGGAAATCTGTATAGATCCTTACCCAGTTCATAATCCAAGATGCACTGTATCTCTTTGGTTTCTTAAGTTTTAGCCATATCATGCTGGGTAGCTGCATGAGTTCCATAAAAGTTGGAATGGTACAAAATTTGAGATAAAAACTAACAATTAACCATATTGGAGGGCTTACCAAATAAGTTGTTGCAGCAAAGCCAAATCCGCCAAAGAAACCAAGAAGATCTCCAAAGAAAGGGAAGGTTACACCAATAAATAGGGTGAATGCTGCAAAATTCATATTACGTCTGAGATGGTGTATTTGATAGTATAACACACTAAGAAAATAAAAGTTAAAATATTAACTATTGTACAATATGATTTTATGTCGTACTCCGTACCAAACACACACTCAAAGTATTTATCAATCTCAAGCACTTGTGCCATAAGTGGAGCCGTGTTTGGAAAAAATACGAAGATAAAACTATGATAAGGAAAGAAAGGGAAGGTTACACCAATAAATAGGGTGAATGCTGCAAAATTCATATTACGTCTGAGATGGTGTATTTGATAGTATAAAACACTAAGAAAATAAAAGTTAAAATATTAACTATTGTACAATATGATTTTATGTCGTACTCCGTACCAAACACACTCAAAGTATTTATCAATCTCAAGCACTTGTGCCATAAGTATAGCCGTGTTTGGAAAAAATACGAAGATAAAACTATGATAAGATTCTCACCAACATAAATAGAACGAACGACAAGTCTTAGCATGAGTCGATGTGGGAGGCTCGATCTTTTAACCAAAGTTTTCTCCATCATATCAAACACCGGCATGGCATAAACCTGCAAGATTTCTCCTTTATGAACTTGGCAACAAAGAAAATTCGAGTTTATGTACATTGATCACATCTAAATTGTACCTGATAGCTGCCTATGACATGAATGACCACCATTAAGTTAGCAGCTGCAATGAGCCACGATGGTCTCTCAAGTGCTACCAACACGTTATCTGTGACATCTTGGCCGAACGCCCAGTATCCGATCAAAGCCACTGGAAAATAGCATATTGCATTGATGAAATAGGCCAAAAGAGTGCCTTTCCACATTTGCACTTTTGAGGGCTTTTGAGGAGTGGATGGAATTGTGGCCTGAATTTCAAGCACCACAGCACCTCCAGCAAAGGCAAATGTGACCTGCCCCAATGCATTAAGAACCCTGAACATGTAGTCAACTCCAGTGGTTTTTTTGTATGAATAACTCACGTTCGGGATCGTGCCTCGACTAAGGCAACCCACCCAAGCTATTGTCGAATAGCTGAAAAAAAATTCATTTTTAACTTATTCGGTATATATCATGTTGTTGAAAGTCATAATAATAAGTAACTCAAAAGTAAGTAATACCTTAGTGACATGATTGCAGCTGCCATTGAAACAGCAGAAACAGAATTGAAGTCAGGTAGCTGAGACAAGAAGAATTGGAGACCACCAAATATGCAAATCCAATAGGATTGTCTAATTTTTGTGCAGTTTGTGCATGTAATTTCCATAAACTTCTTGAGACACTTTCCTCCAGTAACCATGTACACAACGTCACAACCAACTTGTACAATGAGCTGCTGAGGTAGTACTAACCATGGGCCAAGTTTTGGGCCAAATGCATGCCGGCCTAGGTCATAGTATCTATCAAAACGAATTCCAGGCTCATGTTCATGGAGCTGTATCATTTCCCACATTGTATGTAGTGTAATACACCAAGATAATACCATGGTAAAAGACCCTGGACCCCTAGAAAGAGATGGGCTTTAAATTGTTAAAAAGACAATATATATATATATATATATATATATAGCTCTTCTGGTTGATAGTTTAAAAGTGGAAATTTGAGCCTTGTTTGGTTGAGATTAAAATTAAATTTTTAACAAATTTTGATAAAAGTTGATGAAATGTGTAGTTAAGATTAATTGTTAATTTTGACTTAGATTTTAATTAGATATTAACAATACCAAACAGAGCTGAATTAAAATATCAGATAGTTGAAAATCCCAGAAAATTCATCATTAACGCTTCCTTCCATTATCCGTTCTACGCTTTTGCATTGTGAATGTGCAAGAAAATTGATTTTTCTGAAGGGTAAATTGGTATTTGGACAATTCGTGCATGATAAGATAAGAGAAGAGATATCCACCAAGTCATGATTAGTCTATCAACAAATTATATTTAATTCCTTAATTGGTCATGTTAATAAGGATAAAACATAAATCATAATTCCCACATCGTTTAAATATATAAGGGTTTGGATTAATCTTCTTAACAAAATTGACATTTCAAAATGAAATTCCAAATCTTAATATGATATCAAAGCTCATTAAACTTCAATGAACAATTCGATTCAATTATGACTAAAAAATGAGTACACGAATTTCAAGATTCCGAATATGCTATCATATTGCGGAACCATGTTAAAGAGATAAATCTCCCATGGGTTAAATACTAAAATATAAACCAACACATAGATGATTGGGTTTACTTCTTTCTATAAGGTTTACCTATTAAGATAAAACATCAAGTCTAAATAAGTGACAAAAGATTAATTCAGTTCAGACATTAACTCTTAAACGAGAGGATTTATTGTGGTAACTTATGAGATGAAGTTTAGTTGTCACTCATTTACAGAACTTATGCATAATTAATGCATATGAAAAATTTAATACGGGATGGCGACACTTTTGATTTCAAATTCTCAAGACATTTGCAAATTTATAAATGATCTATGTGAATAATAAATGAGCAATAATTTTTGAATGTGATTTTGATTGAAGTTATAAATCATTTGTAGATCCATTGCCGAATGAAGGCTAAATCTGAATAAATAAATGTGCGCACAATCAAATTTTTTATATATATTTTTTTTATGATGTGATTAAATTTTTAATCAGAGACAAGATTAAAGTTTTATCGCTTCATATATATGAGATTCTCTACATAGCATATTCTTGTCGAAAAAGAATCTAGAGTCTAGACTGCACTTAAAGTGAGTCGAAAGACAAAAATAAATGAAGAGAAGGAATACCATCCCAAGTAAGCCATGGCATAGGGCAAGCTGAGAACACCGGCACCAACCATGGCGGTGACTGTGTGAAAAGTTGAGTACCACCATTTGGCTTTGCGAGCTGCACCATTTTCTTCCCATACATCATATGATGGAACTTCCTGGATCACACGCAAACATGTATCAAATTCTCAACTTCCAAGAAAATACTCTGCTTTAAAGAAGGGTTCTTAGAAACTCACTTTGGGTTGTGGAGAAGAAGAAGGTGAAGCCATTTTTGCACCAAAGAATCCCACACTAAGAATGTGGGAACTAAGTGACTCTTAATCACTTATATTTTTATGGAATAAAGGTGGGTGGAAAACTATTAATGGGTTCCTTCTGTTGACAGTTGATAAGAAATTTACCATTAAGAATATTATGAGATAAGATAGGATAGTAGTTACATCGCATTAAATGTTGTTAGGGAGGATTAAACGCGTTGTTGATCACTCATAAATATATTTTGAAGTCAAAGATTCAAGTGGGTGCACTCGAAACTTGAAAGACCTTCACTTGGTGGATGAGCAAATCTCACAAAATTTATCAGCATGTTGGCCGAAGACAACGGATGCGACCTTTTGTTCCAATACGTGGTGGTTTGACCCAATTACAATTAATTTCCAAGTACAAGTTCAAAATTTTTATCATTGACTTGGAGCCTAGAGAGTCAAGGCCAACCTAAAATCAATATGCTTCTGTATAATTCGCCTGTCTAAATTGCCCTCGCGGTCTCACTTGCCGGATACACTTAAATTTTCCTGGAATGAAAGTCAAAGGAAAAATTATATGTTAAAAACAAATTCACATTATGAATACGATGATACAAGATAATACAATACGTTAAATGTTGAAATATTACATGACCTTTGTGTATATATGCACAAATTAGAGGTGTAAAGCGAATCTATGAATTCTAAGTTTGTTTGAAAAACTTCGGTTTATTTTTCGAAAAGAACTAAAAGAGTGTCATGTGTAGTGCGAGCATAAAAAGTCAAGTTCGACACAACTTGTTTCTACAATTGCCAATCCATGTCTGATTCATGCCCTTCCAAACTTCACCAATCCAACACACTGTTGTATCCTATCAAGCAAGAAGAAAGAATATATTTCATTGAAACTTCAAATGCCCTTAGAACCGAGTAGGGTTCATCTGCAATAATAAACTTGATAAACTTTATAAAGCCACAACTTAAATTAATTAAAGAATATGAATCCATGAAGATTTTTCATAACTTCATCATTACTTCAGCACTAACAACAGATTTAAAATGAACTAATTCAGCACTACGAATAAACGTAAAATTAACTAAGAAATAGATTTATATAGCATATCAACCCTAAAGATTTATGAAGGAGCGTAAAGCAAAAATTCCTTGTATTATAAGGGTACGTTTGGCAAGGCTTTTAATTTTTTTACACTTTTGTTTCTAATAGCCAATGATGCATTAATCCTATATATCAACATTATACAATTATATTCAAACACAATTTCTTAGTCTCAAAAATAATTTTTCACTTTTCAAATCTTGCCCAAATGGACCCTAAAAATAATTATTTTCTGTGGTTATAAAATTAGATAACTAATCATTGTAATAAAACATGTTGATATGGACCCAACACCTCTTGGACGTCTATTATGGTTGCAAAAGCACTAGCTCGAAAAGAGTTCCAAATTTCGAAGAACTTCAAATTTAATATATTGACTTGTATATGAAACAATTTAAAATGACTAAAAAACGATTGCTTCAAGAGAGGTCGATCGATTAGAAGAAAATGATAGTCCCCTTTCTAAACAATATGGTGAAATTTCACTTATTTGTAGGGATTAAATTTATCTCGTTGAATTAAAATAGAATAACTTGATTGGGTTAATTTAATCTGAGAACTTTCGTGACAAACAATAAATTGAATAATCACATCCATAGTGATATGGCGTATCAAGGGCGTCCATGAGGCATCTCTTAGAAAAGAAGAGTCAAAATCATTTGCCTTAATCAATCAAAATTGCTTGTGACATTTATTATTTTCCCTTTTTTATTTGAGAATTATACTGTATTGCGGGATACATGTTGATGTTACTTCATTCTACATACATGTTCTATGGCGATTGTATTTATATGTTGCTCATTTTTTGCATATATGGAAGATGTTAGTATATATTAATGCGTCAGCAATTATGTTGGCTTCACAACAAAAGGATTTGTTAGACATCATGTTGTCAAACGACCTCCCGGGCGATGATGAAAACCAGTTTTATCAGTCGACATGAATGACTGAACGATAAATCAACACCGAATAATGGGATGACCCGACCTAGCGTTGTTTTACCTATTGAATGGCTAATAACCTTTGTGGCTTGTTGGTGTGCTATTGGGCCATAACCCTAGTCGAGCCTACTTACCATATTATAACTTACCTTAAGTTTGTCATTGGACTATTATATATATTGGTAACTCTCCTTCTTCCTATGTGAGTCCCGTGTGATAGATCCCGAGAGAGAGGCAGTCTCCCTCTTCTTCTTCGTACATCCTATTGATTGGTCTTCTCCACCTCTTGCTTGAGTCTTTGTGACCATTACCTGTGTGGTATTCATCCTAAGTGAGTGAGGAAACAACAAGCAAAATGAGCAATAGCAACCATAGGAAGAAAGCACGCCCGGCGGTCGGTCCCTTTCGGTTTCTTGGTGTTGATTCGATGTTTAAAGGTTAACTGAGCCCGGAAATTACCTTGAGCAGCTAGAGGAAGATCCTAATAGGATTGATGGTTCCAATGGACTTCTATTGGTATATTAGGATGTTTCATTTGCATACATCACTACACTTCAATATGACACCTATCGTACCCATAAACATATTGATTTGATCCCACAGGTGGGACCATGTATGTTGTCGCCAGAAATAGATCTTCGTATTTGAAAATAGTGAAAATGAAAAGTGTTCAACTGGAGTAGGGGCACCTCACGTTCTTGAATAGATCCAACTTTCAACTAACCTAGCCTCTTCCGTCCTTCAAGACTAGCAAGGGGTAGTGAATTGAATAGCTTTCCAAGCTAGACTAGGTAAATTGAATACGATAAGATTCTTATTTCCTTCAAAAGACAATTTAGAAATAAATTAATCCTTTTTATTTTTAAAATTAATAGATTTATACGATAAAAGATCATATTTATAGTATTTTGAAAATTATCTTTTTGATTCTATAATGAATAGGATTCAAAAATATTTTGCTTTTTGTAATTAATTAACTGATTTAATTCATATGAATTCCATTTGCTGAAATCTTTCCTTTTAACCACACGACGTTGATGAATTGTATTTCTCATTGTTGTGGTATTAATCGAAAACTCCATTTACAACGATCTCCACTTCTTCCCAAACAATAAGAACCCAAATTCTACATTTATACAAGGATTTCTCAACATATATATATATATATATATATATATATACTTTTTTTTTATTATTTTTTTTATGACGTGGAAACCTGTAGCCACTACTCTTCGAGTGTGCATTGGGTAAATTCTCGGGCTAATGCAATAACTTGTAAATCACGCCAACTAGGTAAATCGCACAAGGCAAGCCTGGTGCGACAAGCTCGATCAAGAAAGTGTTGGTAGGGAAAATTGAACTCGTAACCAAAAGTTTTCGCGCTCACTTACTCCACCAACTCGGCCACCCCATGAGGGGCATCTTCATTTATATTTGAGTCTAAAGCAAAGTGAAACTAACTAGAGGACATTCTCACTTTACGTGTGTCAAAGTCTGTTGACATTTGCTCAGTCGCCCCATTGATCAAGTACTCAATGTACTTTATAAGGAAAAATCCACAGCCATTACAGCATATAGTGTGAAACAATGTGTTTAGGTTCAAAACAATATCACTACAACAAAGTTTAGTTTTTACGGCGTGCATTATATGCCGTGAATAATACTTTACGGCGTACAACAATATGCCGTATAAAGTAATGCCATAAAAAGTGGTCTTTTTTTACGGCGTGCATAGTGCGCTATAAATGGATGCCGTGAAAAGCATCACATTTTTTACGGCGTGTAGTTGTACGCTATATAAAGCATGCCGAAATGCGCCGTAAATGATCATTCACCTTTTACGGCTCGTAGTTGTACGCTGTATGAAGTGTTAAATTCATAGCATCACGACATGCCTAAACACGCCGTAAATGACCATTCACATTTTACGGCGTGCAGTTTTACGCCGTATAAAGTTTTATACTCATGGCGTTACGGCATGTCTAAACACGCCGTAAATGACCATTCACCTTTTATGGTGTGCAGTTTTACGCCATATAAAGTGTTATACTCATGGCGTCACGGCATGCCTATACACGCCGTAAATGAGCATTCAATTTTTTTAAAAATCATTTATTTATTTTAATACCAGCAAACCTGTAATATTAACAAAATAAAACTACTCCATATATAATCAAGTTTTCCATTGTTTCGATAAAAAGAAATGTTGACTACGATTCAATAAAATATGCCAATGTAAAATTCATCTAAACAATTCTCAAAAATATTCGACTACTATTGTATGCGCCAATCGCCATTCAACTAATAAGCCCGTCGATATTGAGGTTCCGTCATATAACAAAAAATTATTAAACCTATCAAAGTTCACTTCTTTGGCCGACAATTTAGCTACCCCATGAAATATGGATCCCCTGCACACCACGAAAATAATAAGGATATAATTAATAAGCATCCAAATCAAAAATATATTAAATAACACAATCTTGAATAGAGACCGAACATAAAGGTAAATGGAATTAAAATAGAAAAGAAGTTAAGCATACCTTCGTTGTGATTACAGCGAATCCACTTCGATATACCTACTTGGCCATGCAATTGTACTTCCTAATGCATCTTCCAAAAGAAAAAGATCACGCGTGGGACGATATAAACTAACATTATCGATCACTTCATTAACCCAAACTCTCCAACATTCATTACCAAGAAGTACATGATGCACTAAATCATTTGGATTTGTTGATGCAATTTCACCTTTTTGCAACAATATCAGCTTTCCCGAACCAAGATAACAATTTGCACTTCTTATTCTGAAGGTTATCTAAACCATTCAAGCTTCTGCCTCTAGACTGTAAAATTAATATCCAATTGTACAATTTATTATTTTGAATATAGAAAATATATGTAATTTAAATAACATTCATTGATTCTAGATTTCCACTTACATTATCTTCTTGCTCAGTACTTTTACTCTTCACTTGAAACAGAGCTTTTAATTCTTTAATTTCATCCCTCAACTCTTGAACTTGAGTTTGCAAGTTATGATTGTGCACCAAAGCATTCAACTTTGAAGGGGTCGCACCGAAACCAAGACCTCTTACCCGTCCTGGACGTTCTGGACCAAGTACATTTACAACACCATCACCTTCAAGTGAGTGTTTGCTTGGAGAGGAAATCGTCTCTAAATATGCTTTTATTTTATTCTGATATGAGGAAATACA